AGCCAGAATCAAATTGTTGTTGGTTTGGCACGGCCCTGCATGCCACAGCACCGGGGCTGCTGCGATGGCCACGGCTGCAGCCGGGTGGGGAGCAGCTCCCCGAGAGCCCCTGTGTCCCCTCTGCGAGGAGGGAGCTGGCGGGGACGGCTGTGCCATGGGCAGGAATTGCTGTGCGGTTTTGGCTGCACCACGTGCTGCTGCTCTGATTTTGGTTAAGCTCCTTGGTGGGACCTGAGCCATGCTTTGGTGGTGGTTCCGACGTTGGTTGCCTCAGGTCTGGCTGTACCAGCTTGCTGGGAATGGGCCGGTTTGACCAAACCAGCTGAAACAGCACCTGGGGCTGCAGGCAGATGTCCGCGGGCTGTTGAGGGGGGACTGTGCATCCAGCCTGTCGGCAGATGCCTTGGCAGAGCTGGGCTTCCTCCGTGGAGGCTCCCCAGAGCTGTCCCAGCTTCTCTCCAGGGACCCTGAAGGACACCCAGGAGGTGCTGGGAGCGAGCAGGGAGCTTGGTGGGGGGTTCAGGTCTCTGGTTATTGGGCTGCAAAGGCAGGGTGCGCGAGAGGCCTTCAAGGAAGAGAGTCCCTGGATCTTGATGCGATGGTTTCAAGCGTATAGTGACCAGGATGTCTCAATTAGCAATCTCCTCTTATTTTACCTAATCCAATTTCTGTTATTTTACAAATCTGGATATTGGGGTAGTACTGTAGAGCTACCTGGGAAGTAGCAGACTGCATCCCCAGAATTTGTGCATAGAAACGGTGGTCTCTCTTTCTCTGTGGTCATATAAATATTGAAGTTGAATGAAACAAAGTATTTTTCTCTTAACTGTATTCTGGAAAACAGCTTAATTGAGCTAATTATAGATCTCTGTTGGTAAAGAGTAAGAAACGGAAAACTGTCTGATAATGGGAGGTGTTGGGCCGCTCTGCTCATACATGCTGCTGCTGCTGGTGCCCACAGTCGAGTTGCTGGGGTTGCTCCGGTTGCCGCCGTGTTGCCCCAACGTGCAGTTCCAAACCCGCTGTCTTTTGGCAGTGAAATGCGTACGGTGACCCTGCTCCTGGCTGCACAGCCATGACTCCTGTCATAGCTCACTGCCTCTGCTGCACAAACACAGCTCTTAGTAAGGCTTGGCTGTAAGCCTGATCAGAAACACCATTTAGGTTGTGATCCTTTTATTTTTCCCTTTTTTCAATCTCTTTCCTTGTTATGCCTTAATTCAGGTTTGTTTGCAGGTGAAGCAAGGCTGTCATCTAAGCCCTGGGCATGGGTTTCTTGTAATGCCGTTAACATTACGTCTCTGGTGAATGGTCTTTTTCATTATCTATATTCTCAGTTTTCTTTGGCATTTTCATTGTTCCCTGAGGTCTAGGACCAAAGTGGAGGCACAGAACTGGGCCACGGAGGATCAGAAATCACTGTGCTGGTGTCCTGCCCTCTGCCCATAGTGTTAACTTCGTGGATTGCAGCAACCTCTTAATGTGGGCACTGAGCTGCACATCTGGAGCATGCTACAGAGCAGATAGGCAGCTACAAACTGATGGAAAGAGAATAATTTTCTATGTAAAAATTAACTGTTTAAGTCTCTGGACTTTATTTTTGAAGCATTGCTGTGGATTTGGTCTGAGACCTTGGATAGATGAACCTTCTTTGGTTTTCATCTGGAAATGAAGGGTAGTAATTGATTTCCCCCCGGAAGAAATTCCATGTGTAGACCTGTTAATGCCTGTGTGATGCCCAGGACCAGCACAACAAACAAGCACCTACAGCAGGAGAATGCAGGTCCCAGAACTGAGGGGGTCTCTCTCTGCATCCTCCTTTTGCTCATGCACTTTCTCTTCAGTTTGGTTTCTAAATATAAGAAGTACCATTAAAAGGTGACATAGTGTATCAATTTCCTACTGTCAAAGAAAGTGTTTTCAATTCCTGAGCACCTAGATATCTGGAAATATAAATGAGCACAGTGCTGCTGGGCGCTGATGGTCTGGGTGGGAGCATATCTGGGGTTGTGAATGAGAGTTGCTAGTAGAACCGCAGGAGCAGAACTTCAGGTTAGTGCCTGGGATGTGTCTGGTAGCCGCATAAAAGTGAAACTGCCGTGAGCTGCTATTGCATACGCAGAGGTACAGTGTTTGCTTTTGCAGGGAGCCTGTCCCTGGAGGCCCCAGGAAGGCTGCTGGTGCAGGGGCAGAACTGCCAGCATCGGGGGGCTGGGCCACGTGGTGGGGGGTCCCTTCCTCGGATCATGCCTCCACGCATCCCACGACCACTGGTGAAGTTCTCGGTGGGACTGGCAGTGCCACTCTTGGCCACAGGGGCTTAGTGGGGCCACACATGGAGCATCGTCTGTTGGGTTAGGTCAGCATCATCCGCTGAGCAGCTGCTGGGAGGAGACGAGGTGCAAGGACGAACGGGAGTGGAAGGAACAGGGTTAAATCTGCGCAATTGGGTGATGGTTGGGAAGAGGCATTTTGGGATGGCATCCTGGAGGCGGTTGCTGGAGTTGTCAAGTCCCGTCTGTGCTATTGCTGGCAGGCAGCTGTGATTTCCTTCAGTGTTTCTGTACTTCTGCAGTAGCTGAAGGGATACTGAAGCAGGAGGTGGATTTTGCTTTCATTTGCTTGTTAGGCGAGAGGGGATCTGGGGGTGAAGTAACACTGAGCAGAGGGAGTCGGGGCATTCGTTGTCTTGACACCTGAAAAGGCAGTGCCTGCACCCTGCAGCAGTTGATGCCAGTTGCCCTTTCACCATGCTCGTGATAAGAGTGTTGGTGCTGTGGGAATTGCTTATACTGCGTGTAGACACTTCCAGCGCCTCCCAGTGCGGGTGACCCAACCCTTTTTTACCCTCTGAGCGGTTTCTCCTTGCTCGTGCACGCTGTCCCGCGGGTGCCTCGGGTCCGTCCTGGCCACCCTTGCCTGGGCTGCTGCGGTCATGAGGGATGGGAGGGAGCACCCGGGGAGGGGCAGGGTGGTGGGGATGAGGAGCAGGGCCATGCTCTGCACCAAGGGGTCAGCGCCGGCACCCACTGTCCCCCGTGAATCCCTGCTCTTCTTGGTTCTTGCCTTGCTGCACTGTTGTCCCTGCGGCACTGAGCGGAGTGAACCTTGTAACTGAATTTTGTGTCTGTGGCTTTGTGCTTTAGCTTGTGCATTCCTGTGGCACTGGCATCTCTGCACGTGTCTGCATATCGCTGCAGGCAGCCCGAGTGAGCAGGTCAAGTACCGGCACAGGTGCCGTGGAGCTGTTACCATAGAGTTTTAACTGAGCTAATTAGATCGGCTGAGGTGGAGTAACGTTGCAGGGGGTGGTGCACTAAAATGGCTATATAATTTTAAATATGTGACCTGACTTGTTTATGGCATGGCTCCATGGTGCTGTCTTTTGAAAAAATGTGCTATATATTTTAGGGTTGGTTCTGCAGACTAACCACACGGAGACTGAATTTGGTTTAAATCACGTTCACACCCCAGTCTCATCCTTGGAAAGTTTTATCTTGGTGATATTTTCTGTCTGACTTCTTACCACGGTCTCCTCAGCATGTCAGAGAAATAGCACAGATGAACTTGTGGGTCCCAAGTTTTGGGATTTGCAGGCTCCTCTGTAGAACTGGTTCTAAAAGTATTACATTTTCCCCCTAGAAAATTAAATTTTGACAAAATCAACATACTATACAAAACCATATGTGATGAAATTTTGTTTAGGAAGCCTTTGAAAAGAATTGGACATGTTTTTGCATCCTGTTTGGTATTTTCAGAATATTTTTTTTTTCTATTTTCCAACTGGAAATCATCAAAATGAAATCTGAAGTGAAGAACTTTGGAATTAATTTTGCTTCATAGAAGATATAATTTTTCTATATCAAAGTTTTTTCACTGGGTGAAAAATCTGCTTTGCTCAGACATGTTCATTCAACTGTGCAGTGGTTCACAAGAACAAGAGCAGTTCCCTGACCATTGGCTGCATTTTGACCAGTTGGTTAGAGCTTTTCCCAAAGACTTCCCTCAGCTAATTGCACAGTATTTCTACTGCATTGGACACTTTCTAGAGTGCCTTTCCTAAAGCTGGCTACTGCAAGGTTTGATTAAAATAAACTCAAAAAAAAACAGCCAGACTGCAATCAAAGGTCTGAAAATCTGGACTGGAAATGTGTGTGAGCTGGGTGTTTTCACGCTGTAGTCCATCCAAGTGTTGCCTGCCTGCCTGGCAGAGTTGCAATTTTTAGAGACTAGAAATTTAATAAAATACTCTATTCGTCAAGTGTAGTTACCCAAAAGAGAAAAAAGAGAAAAAAAAACAACCGACAGACAACTAGGTGGACTTAAAGGAGAGTCTTTTGGGCACTTAGTCCCTTCAGGAGAACAAGATTTAGTCTTTGGCCAGAGATAGAAAACTACACCAAGAATAAAGCAAAATTTCCCAACCGACAGCGTGACAGCTGTACCATTGTGCCATACAGCAATGATCGGTGTTGGGGTAGCTCGATCTTTCCTCTGAAGTGTTTTAAGTTCTGCAGGCAGATGGGTGATAAGCCCTCAAAATGAGTTTGCAACACAACACAAGGTACGGTGCAGTTCACCGCTGCTGGGCTGCTGCTCAGCTGGCACAGTCCCTTCCGTAGCCGGCGCCGTGCTGCGCCGTTGCCGAATGCATGACGTCACGTGTCTGTTGACGTGCCCATGTCACACGCATGTGCAATGTGTGTGCCTGCATAGCAGGGAGCTTGCGGTGGGGGCAGAGGGTGGTGGCTGGCAGCCCCAGGTGGTTTCCATGGGGTGGTCCAGCAATCCCAGTCTCGAGGAGAGGGACAGAAGGACCACGGTCCGTGTAGATTTGTAGCATAACTTCATGTGCCCTGGCCCCTGATGGGTGGTGCCCCGTTGCTCTTGATGGTTGCCTTGGGTCTCCTGATTGGGCATATTCCTCTGGTGGCTCCTTGCTTCACATTGGGGTGTTAACACTGCGTATTGTGTGTTTTCCTGGGATTTCATGGCTGCAGGCAAATCTGAAGAAGTTCATGGAGTACGTGCAGATGCTAAATGCGGAGAAGGTCTGCAGGCTGCTGGAGAAGGGACTGGACCCCAACTTTCATGATCCGGACACTGGAGGTGAGACTGGTCTCTCCAGAGTGGGGAGGATGACGGAGCAGGGTTGGGGGAGAAAGTGTCCAGGGGAATGGTTGTTTTTGAGGGGGTGTAGCAAATGATATATTTTCTGAAATGTAAGGTTTGGAACAGGGGGATGTAAGTTGAATTTCTCAGTAGTGTGTCTTCTCATGATACGTGGGTCTTGGGAGCATAAAGTTACAGAAGGCTCTTGGGGGAAGATAGACTGAATGTGTGGGAAAGATACATACAGAGTCTGGGAATACAGCGTAAAATGAAAGAGCTGTGGGGCTGTGCATCTTTTGGTGGGATTCTGGGAGGATGAGGCTGTCTGGGACTGGCAAGCTGGGTGAATGCGAATTGCTGCCCAAGGATCCCTTCATGAAGCAGTCAGAAGGTTTAAGAAGTATTTCTGGTCAAGAAAATAAAATCTTGGCCTCTGGTTTCCTTGATTATTTTTTTTCCTTCTCTTTTTTTTTCTATCTGTGAGCAAAATTCAGCCCAGAGAAGTCTGGTTGCTGGAGCCCTGGCTGTTGGGTTGTCTGCAGGCTCCTGGCTACAGGGAGTGAAAATCAGACTCCAGCATGTTCTCCTTACTGATGGGGCAGTGGGGGAGGACCTCTCCCCATTTTCTCTGCTGTGAAGTCTCATAGTTCTGTTCCGAGAGAGGAGTTACTGCCTTTGTTGTTCCTGTTTTAAAGTAATGCAGCTTAGTAATATTTAGTATAGAGTTGGACTTCTGTGTGTGAATCATGGGCACCTTTCCAACCCATGAGCAGACTCCAATCTATCTGATGATTAATTTTCTGTGTTTCTGGTTCAGTTGGATGTTTTTTCAGGTTGTTTCTAAAACACTGGCTACCTCTGTACCTGGAGATTTAGTGTGTCCAGACCATTTTCCAGCACTGAGATCGGGTGGCAGAGTGTGGTGTCTTTCACACTGTTACCCTCTCTTACCCTCTCAGATAACACGGCTGCATCTGAACTGCCCTTTGGGAATGGCCTCTGCCAGCTCCTTAAATGGGAAGGTGAAAGCTGGTGCAGCCAAATTCTGGCAAGAACCATTTGAACATGGCCCAGGAATGTTTGTACTGTTTAATTTGCTGGTGTAGCCACTCTGAACCTGCCAGTGTCCTGATGAGCAACTGTTCATGAAAAATAGCTGATAGCATGCAGACACTATCACTGTCTGCTCTGGAACATTCCCAAACAGCTCAGCTCCATGTGGTTTTCATTTTTGCCAAAGACCTTACAAGCATTTTGATGGATCTTTCCTCATAAAGAAAGTCTTCCACTCTTCTAAAGCTGGTTCAGGTTTCCAGGGTATATTATATTGCAGAGTGCAGTGTGCTGCTTGAAAAGATGCTGTGAGTTTTGAATCTGATGTGGTTTGAACCCAGACGTTATTTCACAGAAGGGCAGAGTCTTATAGGAGCAGACTCCTGAGTACTGCAAAGACTGTGTTAAATACAGAGGGGGGAAGAACGAAAAACACCTGACCTAAATAGTCTTTTGGACCTGGTTTAGAACTGAGGGCAAAACCAGAGTGGATGCTATGAGATGTGCAGATAGACTGTTAGAGCAGGGGCAGTCTTGGGCAGCTCACTTTTGGAGTCCTAATTCTTGTGCAAAACCACTTAATTACTATTTGCTTTACAATCTGTTTTGTGAATATGAAAGAATGACATGACTGCTGTTCACTATTCATGGGTTCCTGGAATTTAAGACCAGATGGAGCTATTGTACCATTCGACCTGACCTCCTGTATCTTGCAGCATGTTCTTCACCCTCGGCGTGTGTGTGTGTGTGTGTGTGTGTGTGTGTGTGTTCACTAAGGAAAGCTTAAACATGTTTTCCAGAAAGTCATCAATCTTGATTCAGGGAACAGAAGATCCGTGCCTTTCTTTCATTATTTGGTTAATCACCCTCACTGTTTAAAATTCGTATCTCATTTAAATTTGTGTGCTTCAGCTTCCAGCTGTCGTTATACTTTATCTTCTAGATTAAAGAGCACTTTAGTACCTGGTATGTCTTCACATGAAGGTATTTATACATGGTAATCAAGTCAACATTCAATCTTCCTTTCCTTAATTAAAGAGAGGCCAAACTCCTCCAGTCTTTCATCTGAACGTATTTTCTCTTTTTTTTTCCTGTCACTTCTGTGGCTTATATGTCACTTCTCCATTTTTAAGAGGTTTTTTAAGAACACAGGTATCAGACAGCCTGCTGGCTCCCTGTGCCACTCATCATGGGCAGGCGCACCTCTGCCTGCAGATCCCTGCTCTCTGGCCTCCCAGGGATGCATTTGAGGGGACAGGGGTGACCACACGTCCCTGGGATGGCACCCCACGTTGTGTCCTGCTAGATGGAGGGGCTGGGGGGTTCCCCTGCCTGTTCCTCCTGCTCCCCCACCAGCCACTGACCGCAGCAGCGTGTCTTGGGGGGTCCAGCTTGGCCCCCCAGGCAGGAGCATTTTGCAGGGCTGTGCCCACCGGGCACTGCTGCTGCAGCCGCGTGGGCGGCACATCTCCCCCCTGCTGTGTCGTGTCCCAAAGGCATCTTGGAGGGTTTCCATGGCTGTTGTTCCTGGTTCTGGGACTGCCCGGCCCTGATTGCTTCTAGAACTCTTGCAAGCCCGCTGGCATCTACAAATCTGATCAGAGATTTGTGTTTTCTTCAGGATAAAAGATCAGGATCTAGAATAGAGTCAAGTCCAACACCCTGGAGAGCCTCCTCAGCACCCATGTGGTTGGCCGCATTCCTCAGTGACCACTCTGACTGCTGCTCTTCATCTGGAATTTTGCTCATTTGGAACATGCCTGACTTGACATTTTATACCACTCATTTTTAATGTCGTGTAGGACTCAGCCAAGCGTGAGGCTTACATCAATACAGCTATGTGCATCAGTCAGACTTGTAATTTACCAAGGGAAGGGATTACATTCAAGTAGGAATACCTATTTACTGTACAGCTTCTTTGGGTGATATTAATAATATAGGTATTCTTTAGTGCTGTGTCAATTAAATTCCAAATCAATTTTCCCAGGATCAGTTTTATTCTTCTGACTTGTAGTTTCATGGATCGTTTTACTTGTCTCTTTTTGAACATCGACCTGACACTGCTTTTTTTCTGGTCTTTTTGAATGTCCCAATATTTCAAAATGTATTAAAGTTTAACTTTTTTTTGACCAGAAAGATCTTCAGGGAGAAGATAAGGAGGATGATATACAGCGTTCACTAGATGTAATACAAATTATTCAATCTCAGGTAGCTCATGCAAAAAAAGCTCATGCTTATTTGATAATGGAAAGGAAAATAATATATCTCCACAACAGCAAAGTAAAAAAATAAGGATTGGTCATTTTGCTGTCTGCATTTATTAGCAATTTTACACTATCTGCCTAGTGACTGACTGGCTTGCACGGGGGCTGGGAAGTTGTGGCATTGTCAGATTTAAACAGCAGCAAAACCCCTCTCTGGTAGTCCTTTGCTAGGCCAAATGTGGATTTCTTTACTCCTATGTCATATGTTCTTCTTAGTTTTCTAATTTTCAGTTCATATTGACCACTGTTTCATCATGTCCTGTTGTTAGAGTTGTCTCTGTTGGTAACTGCCCCCGTCAGTTCACTGCTGACCTGGGAGGGGCACGTGGCAGTGGTTCTCCATTCTGATTTATGGAGCTGTAGTTCTGGGTTACACAGCAACTGTTCTTCAAGACTTCCCAGTCACCTTTTACTTTTTAATTTTAATCCCCCCCCACATTTCCTGTGATCAGTTACCGAATCTCATTTCCCTTGGTTGATTCCCTTAGGCAGCATCAAATATTCGCCTGGCTGGTTGAGACTTTCTTCTTCCCACGCCATCCCAAGTTGACCAGATAGCAGTCAAGTATTTAGCAGATTTTATTCATTACATTGAGATCCAAAGTAGCATTCCCTTGTGTTGGAGTGAAACAGTATCTATAGACAAGTGACCGGTTTTCTCCTTTTTAGAAAATGAAATGATATTTTATTGATTGTTGGATGGGACACCCAGCATTTTCCTTCAAGTTGAAGTTGCCCTGATAGTGCAAATGTTAATTTATACAACTTGGAGATAAACACTTAGAAGTTAATGCTTTTATTTTTCAGTTAGTGGTCCGCAACAAAATTGTATGAAGGATTTTTTAACTTATTACTTCAGATGCTAATCCACATGCATTTGAAGTTCTGTTCTGAATAATCAGTGGCCATACAATAGAGAGTGTGATTTTAATGTAAACTCTTCCTCTGGTCCTCCTTGCCCACTTAGTACTTTCTCATTCTCCAAACAAGCAGGCGTCCTTAATATTCTGAAGTGGTGTAATTGTAGATTTCAGTACTGACAATTATATCACAGTTCTTGTTACCAGTAAAAACAGTCCACAATCCTTTTTCTTGTTATCCAGCCTCCCCTAGCATTCTGCAATGAGCAAAGAGGAAGAAAAAAAAAAAAAATCTTCCTCACTCTCTTTGTCAAATTAGTTTAATTACTTCTGGCACGGTGCATTTGTGCTGTGTTTCCCTCTTTGGAATAATTTTGCTTGTGTTCTTAGTTTAACATCTTCCTAATTGCTCTACCTATTTCTCAGCCAAGATCATCTCACCACTTGGTGAAGTGCGGTCCCCTGAGAATCTTCCAGAATGGGCTGGTGTTCCCCAAACCCAACGTTCTTGGGTTTGCTCCCATTATGTGGCTGGTGGGTCACTTCCAGTGTTTTTGCCTGATGCCTTCTCTTGCTTGTAGGACTGAAGGGATCTCAGGGATGAGCACATGGACTTTTCTGTCCTTCAGCTTTTCTTCCATGTCCTCGTGCCCCATTACTAGCAAATTTCTGCCCTTTAATTTCACAGGCTCATCCAGCACTAAAGGAAAATTGTGGGCTCTCCTTAGCTTCCATGTTCAGACATGTAAATACAAGTGATGCCGCATGGTTCCCGTTCCCTTGGCCCGTTTTCCAGTTGGCGGTGAAGGGCACCCAGACA